TGCTGCACGCACAGCGCGTGCCCTGCTCCGCTTCCCCTGCGCTCCCGCAATGTAAGTCATGGCTCCTCAAGTGCTCCAGAGCAAGGCTAGCGCTAAAGGTTTAACACCAAAGCTCCTAATGGCTTATTTGTTTGTTGTTAAGAGCTAACGTTTTACATTACCTGAACATTACATTTAATCTCTAGGCTAAATATGGCAATAAAAGAATAATACTATTGTGGTGTCCGGCATTTACAGGAGGAAGAATAGTCTTAATGAATCAAGCGTGGTAGCTAGAGAAGAGGGATAGCATGTTGAAGAGAAACCAGGGTTTGCAGTGAAGCCTGGGAAAGTGCCCTGTCCTCCACTCTCCTACCAAGGAAACCAATCAGCCACGTACAAACAGTCTGACAAATCCCTGCCCGACCCGAGATCCAGCACACACCACTGTCCTGTCCCATCCCCAGCCCAGGGCTATAGGTATCCCCTGGATCAAGCACAGATTTTGACATGCAGAAGGAAAGGAACGTGAGTGGAGCAGGGATCCTCCCGCAGGGCGCTGGTCTGCATCCCTGGCGGAGCCACGGCCTCTGCACCTCACGTGCGAGCTTAAGTAGATCCTCCCGTTAATCTGAACAAACAGATATGGGTCATACAGCCTTTGGCAGCTCCCTTTCCTACGCTGATAGCCCTTACATGTCTTACTGAAGGCTAATCACAGTGTAGCTCGCATCCAGCCTGTCATTTGTGCGCTCTGGGACTCTGCCCTCGCCACCTCAGCTGTTCACGGCTCTGTCCCGGGGCAGTATGTGCAGCTCTCGTTACGGAAGTGACTTTCCTGTTTGGAAGCTCATCAGGAATCTGAAATATGTAGATAACCAAAGGTGTTTCATGTTTATTAAGTGCCACTTTACTTACAAATGAGGTATGCAGCACGCATTCATGTGAACTGAATATTTCTTTGGGCGCTCTCTGCATGACTGAAGTATGCATGACACAAGACCTGGCCGTGGGGCTATGTGCTCTGCCGTCCTACACACGGGCACTGCCTTGTAATGTCACAACGTCACCAAGCCAGCCTTTAGAAACCAGGAACAGCTTTCAGCTCTGCACAGGCAACTGAGAAGGGAAGAAACATAT